TCTCTACCTCTCGTCGTCGTCGTCTCCTGACACTATACTATATATATATATATATATATATATATATATATATATATATGCTTGCACATATCTTTGGTAAATGCATGTTCATTAGTATCTTGTTAATAAACTTTACATATAATTTATGTTTTAAGATCTAAATTAAACTTTATTGGATTAAAATTTGCATATGCTAAATTACCAACTGTTCTACTAATTGCTTTGAATAAAATAATGGACTTACGAAGAATAAATTCATATTTTTATGGTTTATATTTTTACTCTTTTAATTTCAATTTACTATATTTGAAAATTTATTTATAGTTTATGTGTATGTTATATTTATTTACTATAGTTGTACGGACGTATTGGGGACGGATTGGAATTTTGGGCCAAAGTACTAGACACGTGTGACACGTAGTAGACAAGACACTCATGTCGGCGTCTATGTAACCATCACTATTGCCTTCCCAAATGACCTTCTATGGCAACCTTTTAGGATTCTTAATTGAACTCAATATAGCTACCCATCACTAACTCCAAGGTTGTCACTTTACGAATAGTCATGGGCTATCTCCTTGGAAAAATAGAATGTAATGTATTACTACTGAAACTTACATGGGTTGCTGGATTCTTGAGTTAGTGACATTAGTGTACTCTCTCGTGAAGGAAAGGTGTGAATGAACATCATATATCTGTTTTTTTTCGTTCTATTCCTGTTAGTACAAAATTTATTACTATAAGGCATTTATAATTGATCTTTGTTTGGTTGTATGACAGTAACTTGTGGCAATTTTAATGTTGTTAAAGTTTGTTTGACATGATAAAAAGTTGTGTCAGTTAGTTGAATATCATATTTTACTGTGAAAGATCTGCTTAGAGCATATTTTCTTGTCAAATTTTAGATAATATAAGTGTTCTACAAAAAATATGAACTTACTTTTATGGTTGTTTTATTTTTCCTCCTGTTTATTTTCAGGGTTGAACCATCTCATAAGAGAATGCTGGTTGAAGCTTTACAACACCAAAATGAAGTGGTAATACTTCTGCATTTGTCATCACAAAATCTTTATCTATTTGTAAACCAATATGGTTTTCATGATGGCATTATTAGTGCAGATTAGTCCATCAACATACCTCACTTCTCATTGTTCCCTTTTTTTTTTTTTGAGAGAATTTTCTGTAATATATTCAGTACAATAAGTAGTTACACAATTTTTTACCCTGGGATTAGACAGCACCATGCATACAAGAGTGAAACATATTAAAACAGTGTTCCACCGGGGCAATCTATGTTTTACAAAATTTTGGTCTGTAGCTCCTTCATTTTGCTAAAGCACAGCCATTAGAATTTGCTTCTTTCCACACTCTAAGTAACTGTAAAATAGCTAGTAATATCCACATCTGCTGAGAAACTGGTTCCAAAGTCCACAGGCAAGAAGAGACTTTCAAAGCTCATCTCATTACATTTATGGAATTCCCCTCAGTGATTAGGGAATGGTCCAACACGGATCAAAAAGCTTGATGACTGCTAGTTTGGCATCGCGGAGTCTGTTGTCCTTATGGGGACCTTTGGATTAGAGTAGTGATTTGGAGTACTGATCAGGAAAGATGCCTCCAACCCCTGCAAGTGCAGAGTTACCTAGAGATAGAGCCTTCCTCCAGCAGTGACCAAACCCCAGACCTATTGATTGATATTTTATCTAGCTAGGATGATGTGCGACAATTGCTGTATAATAACCTGGATGTGGTCTTCAACAGAATCTGCGTGAGACTATCCTTTGGTTGTTTACTTGAAAAATGCCGGGACAGAGTTCTTGTTAAGAAAATCATTGTCAGCCTCCACTAGATTATTCAGATCTCACGTAGAATTTGATTGGGGATTGAATGGTTTTAAATTTGTCTGTCCACGTGTCTTGTGACTGTTGGTCTGGTGATGTGACAGTCCATCACACAAATTGAGCCATTCTCCATTCTGAAGAAAAGTAATTAAATAAAAACTAAAAACTTGTCAATATTTTGAGATCATAAGTTTGAAAAAGCAAATTTTGGGATCATTAGTTTACCCATTTTGAACTTACATTAGAAATTATATAAAGTTGGGGATCAGATCTTTTGGATTTCTCGTGTTCATTTAATATCTGTTTTTACATACGAATTGCAATAGCTTATTTGGTTCTAAAAGGTGTTGACTGGAACATCCTTTGTTATGTCAAGGTTGCAATGACTGGTGATGGTGTCAATGATGCCCCTGCTCTAAAGAAAGCAGATATAGGAATTGCTATGGGATCTGGGACTGCCGTTGCCAAGGTAATTATTGTATTGTGATCCTGATCCACGTTTCAGTTTTAGCCTACACAAGGCACGTGGCACGTTGCTTTGATGTGTAGAGATGTCATCTAAATAATCTCACATGAACAGTCCATTGCTGCAGGCTGCATGTGTTTGGTTGATCTCATTATATACCAAATTGGTGTGCTAACATGCTTATGACTGGGTTCTCATTATTACTTTCTGCTGATTTGGTACATTTATCGGTTGAAAAAAAATGCAGGATCCATTTTATTGATATCTTTAATGCTGGAGATTGGGTTTAGTGCTTTTATCATTTTTTTGAGAATTAGTGCTTTTACCATTTTTACTCTTTCAATTGAGAATTAGGGTTTAATTGTGGCACCAATAGGCAATACGTTGCGAGAGAGTAAACTTAAGTGGGCTGACCATGTGTGGTGCAGACCCAGTACAACACCTGTTAGGAGGTACGAGTTAGTTCAAGTGGAAGGCTCAAAATGGCCAAGGGGTAGGCCCAAAAGGACATGATTGGAAGTAGTGAGAAAATATATGGGGGCTTATGGCCTCACTGAGGGTATGACCGTTAATAGAGCAGAATGGCGGACGAGGATTCACGTAGCTAACCCCAATTAGTTGGGAAAAAGCTTTGAAGATGAAGATGACTCTTTCAATTGTGCAGTTTATCTTTTTTGATTGGTAATAATTGCTGAAATATCCTCTGGAAAAGGTGTTCAACGTTTAGGTGATCGCTGCCTATTATAGTTTCCCTTTTTTTGGTCATCTCTGACATTGTGATGGCAACAATCTTCAGTGACAAGGCATATCTTGCTCGAAATATCCTTCAACTTGTAGCTTTAATTTCCTGAGACAGTTTTTATGAACATAATCTCAATATCCCTTTTGCATTTTTTCAGAGTGCTTCAGATATGGTCCTGGCAGATGATAATTTTGCCTCCATTGTTGCTGTAAGTCTGCAGACTGCTATTGCCATTGTTATATTTCATTCTATTGTTAGTTGCTTTATTCATAGAACCATAATATCTACAGAGAAATCATAGCTTTACTTCTTCAAATAGTTCTTGTGCTGGATTCCCATGATTAGTGATTGTCTTGAGCAGGCTGTGGCAGAGGGAAGAGCAATATACAATAACACAAAACAGTTCATCCGGTACATGATCTCTTCAAATATTGGAGAAGTAGTTTGTATTTTTGTGGCAGCAGTTCTGGGTATGCCAGAAACCCTTGTTCCTGTAAGTCTTTTTACTCTTCTGACCTAGAATTAAGCTTTTTGTTTTCATCTCATATAGTCTTGTATTTGTTAGTAATTTTCACTCCCAGAGGGACTTTTTCCTGGTTATTGCTAAAGGAGATTGACATCTATGCATGCTTGTTTTATAGTAATAGCTGCTGCTTATGCACAAAATTATGAATACAACTAAACAACCCTACTGTAAGTCAGTAATGAACATGGCAGTTGTATTTATTATTCTTTTTCCAGCTGCACCTGCTGATCTTATTACTTCTGTGTTTTCTAATACTCATCACTGAGAATTAATCCTACGGGTCTGATTATTTTGAGGGGAAAGTCTCCCATCCATGTCATTTGGATGGTGGAAGGGTGCACATGCACCCTTTCAATGTCTCGGATTAAATATAACCAGATCCAACAGCCACAAAAGAGTTTCGTATTTTATTTTTTATGTTTTTTAAAAACTGTATTTATTTGAAATCTACTTTTTAGATTTATTTTTACTAAGGTGGACCAAATAAAAATCACCACCACCATCATCATCATCTGAGCTTTATCCCAACTATTTAGAGTTGGCTACATGAATCCTGTTATGCCATCCCGCTCTACCAAGGTTTGTACCCTTTGTCAGACCATAAGTCACAGGTGGACCAAACAAAAATAATAAAAAAAAAAACTTTTGGATAAAGAAGTTGACTAAACTCCCCTTGAATTGTTTAGGGGTATTTTGGTCATTTTTTATTCACAATATTTTTTTAATTATTTTTGTTTTATGCGCCATATAAGAAGACATCTTTACCCCAAATTTGAGAGAAATAATGTTTTTAAATAAAAAAATAAAAAATAAAGCACAAAACTCTTTTCAGCCATTGGATGATAATAGGTTCAATCTGAACCATTGAAGGGTGCTCATGCAACCTTCAAAGCTTCAAGCATCCACATCATGGGGATGCTATATACCATCTCTATTTTTAAAATTTTATACTTAGAAGTAAACCAGGCAGTATTTATTCTTCAAGACTGAGTACCTTCTTCCTCTTTTCTTGTCATACAGGTACAACTACTTTGGGTGAATTTAGTAACCGATGGTTTGCCGGCCACAGCCATTGGATTCAATAAGCAAGATTCCAATGTTATGATGTCCAGACCTCGCAAGGTAATTAACTTGATGGACTGTTGTAAATTGTTATGCTTTCAGCAGTAGGTCCTCTTATAGCTTTGTGATTCCTTCTCAGAGAGAATTAACTCTATAATAATAATCTTCACCTTCTTCCTGAACAAACATGTAGCTTATTCTGAATTGTCTTTTTCCTAAACACAATTTGCTTGGACACAGCAAGGCTGCATTTGCAAAAGCTTCAGCAACGGATTTTGGGGTGTAATACATGAGATAGAGTTAGTGATCAATGCTAGGTCGTTTGTGAAGCACAATCTCATGCCTGGGGCTAACAGCTTTGTGATTCCTTCTCAGAAGGAGTTGACTCTATAATAATAATCTTCACTTTTTCCTAAACAAACATGTAGCTTATTCTGAATTATCTTTTTCCTAAACACAATTTGCTTGGACACAGCAAGGCTGCATTTGCAAAAGCTTCAGCAACGGATGTTGGGGTGTAATACATGAGATAGTGTTAGTGGTCAATGCTAGGTTGTTTGTGAAGCACAATCTCATGCCTGGGGCTATGCAAAATGTTGCTAATAAGTTTGCATTCTATCTACAAGGGTCCTGACCCTTTTTCTCTCTACTTTACACTGCACAATTATGCACTGCTGCTAATCCATTATGCCGAAAGTTCAATATCGGTCCCAAACGAAGCCTAAATGTTTAGAGTTCATTAACTTTTGCGTGTCGGAGAATGATCCTCCACTTGATACCCTTTCTTTTAATTGGTCCTCCACTTGTTACTTCTATCTGCCTACTTGAGACTTTGCCTATATTTTGGGAACTGCTTACTATGCCATTGTAAGAACCCATGCTTGACTAAGTAACTGAATAAATTTGAGGACTCACCCTGTCTCTTCATCATAGTTACATGAATCTTTACCATCTCGGGTTTGCACACTGCCCTGATTGGTTTTTCATTGTTGACTCTTGCGACTCTGCGTCCCAACTTTGAATTTCAGGGTGACCTACCCCCGCCATCCCCCATCCGCCCAAAAATATCATATGAATGGAAAATCCTGAAATCAATGAACTACAGTACCTATTGTCTAGGATGTGTTAAGGCATGTAAATTATCAAATGCAAAAGCAGATTTGCTTAAGTTACTAAAAACGGTTTCACTTCTACAATCTTTGGGATGTTGAACTTGTTCTGCATTAAGAGTAGACTGCTGATCGATAATCTTGTAAGGAGGTCATATTTTTTTTTGCGTTTGAATCAATAGCCACAATTGCTTGTTGGAAAGTTGTGGAAGCTTTGGTATAGCCTATTGCACTTCATTTACCTTGAATGGCAGCACATTACATTTTCCAAGTGTTTTATGTCATTTCCAGTCTTGCGTTCATGATTGTCCTGATCAGATTTAGACCAAGTGCTCAATAGTGCAATGGTTATAAACGCTTATTTCAAGATATTATTCTGAAGGAGCTATCTTTTCCGCACCATATTTTATTTATTGTCTCCTTTGTATTGCATGAGCACTTAAAATGTCGTGCTTCAGCTGATATACTGATTCTTATTGTAGATAAAATCCTATTGCATGTTTTGCTAGCAATTCATGCCCTCATTTTAATAAATTTGCAGGTTGGTGAGGCAGTAGTGACTGGGTGGCTGTTTTTTCGTTATTTGGTTATTGGTGGTAAGCTCCATTGGACAACATAATTGCATAGAATTGTGTAAATGAGGACATTTCCCTTGATTTTACAGAGCATGATAGGAGTGTTATGACAACATTGCATCTAGTACGCAAGATTACAAAAAAACAAAACAAGATAATTGTTGTTGTCACATATAAACTTTGATTTTTGCTGTATCAACCTCATTATCTCAGTTGCATCTTTGTGAAATGGGTATAATATATACTAACCATTAAACTCACAATTTAATTTGCACGTGAAGCCAATATTCCTCGACAAATATTATGGCATCCATCTTCATTTTGTTCAAATATTGAATTGTCAAGCTGTGCAAGTTCCTTTGTCTGCCATTAAGACCCATGGTAACTAAATTCTGTGCTCTTATTACAGCTTATGTTGGTCTTGCTACCATTGCCGGATTCATATGGTGGTTTGTGTACTCAGATGGGGGTCCAAAGCTTCCATATTACGAATTAGTAAGATTAATCCTGTTCAACATCATACTTTATTTCTTTCAGCTGGAAGTTTCTTAACTTGCATAGATAATATGGTAGAATTCTTGGCAAATTATGTATTTTGGTTTTTTCTTGCCTTCCTTGTTTGCATGAAGAATAGAATTGTTATTTCTCAGAGAATATACGAATCTTGTGTAATTATTCATTATTGATGAAGGAGAAAAAAGACTTTTGCTCTCTGTCCTTAAGTGGCATTACTTTATATGCTAACGAATGGTACCTTCCTCCTCCTCCCCTGTGATACGCTTTGATGTATACCTTCCTTTGATCAATGTATCAATCTCTGTTTCTTAATTAGAGAAAACCAATAGAAGCAATTGGCTACCTATTGCAGCCTAGAGCTAGGCTTTTATTCTTTTGATATGTTATATATATTCTATTTTGGGAAAATATCTCCATACACCTTAATTTAATGTACCATTTCTTAGTAGACCCACAAATTTAAAAACTTTCCAGCTCCATTAATATTTCACAAAAGCTATCTTCTAACCCCCTAAACCCATATGACCCTCTTTTAAAACAATTTTTGTCCCAAACAAAATCCTAACAGACGGCTCTCTTTGTCTCTCTTGTTATTGTCTTTTTACTCTCTCTCATAATCCCTCTGTTTCTTCCCTAAACCTCTCTCTCCTCTCTCCACCAATGCCTCTCCCTCTCACTCTCTCGCCTCTCCCCCAAACCCTCTTTCTGTCACTCTCTTGCCTCTCTCCGAAGCCCTCTTTCTCTCTCTCCACCAAACCCTCTCTCCCTCATGCAGTGCAAACCATATTTTTCTTCTTTGCCGGGCTAACCATATGTTTCTCTTGGGTCCATGGTGCAATGTTTGCGAATAGCCTAGTTTGTAAAGACCCAAAGTTGGCAACAACAAATGACTTTCTTTGTCACAAGCAATCCTTTGGGTTCAAATGTCACCCTAGTGAATGTAATGCAAATTCCAGGGCCCAACACTTTAGGTATCTCCTTGGCATGCATAGACTTCGCTCATGGGGGCCAAAACCCTCCCCACACAAACACGTGCCATTGAGATCCTCAGAATCATGGAAGTAATCCTGCACAAATTAGCTTTTTGACCAATAATCTTAAAAAATTTTTGGTTAGCAAGACATTGAAGAAGGGAGCTGCGTTTGTGTTTCTTAAGGGCCTCATTCACTTCCTGCAAAATGTGGGTTATGGCAATTCTGTGGCCATTGCAGCTTTGAGCAGCCAGAATCTAGGGGCTATAACCATACCTAAGACTGTGTTTGGGGGAGAGAGGCGGGAGATAGAGAAAGAGGGTTTGGGGGAGAGAGGCGAGAGTGAAAGGGAGAGGGTATGGGGGAGATAGGACAGAGAGAGAGAGGGGTTTAGGGGAGAATTAGAAGGAATATAAGAGAGGGGGGGAGGGAAAAAAGAAAAAGTAACAAGAGAGAGAAAGAGAGCCGTCTTATTGGATTTGTTTGGGACAAAAAATTGTTACAAAACAGGGTCATATGGGTTTAGGGGGTTAGAAGATAACTTTTGTGAAAAATTAATGCCGTTGGAAAGTTTTTAAATTTGTGGGTCTATTAAGAAATGGTACATTAAATTAGGGTGTATGGAGATATTTTCCCTTCTTTTTTTCTTTGATGAGGAGATTTGAAATATTAATCTTATTCCTTCAAGTATCTCAAAGTCCTACGTCACCTTTATTTACCCAATTGATATTGGTTCGTACTTCTCCTGCCTAACCTATTTTTTTTCCTACTCTTCAGACTTTTAATTCACTCATTTTTCTTAGGTCTTCTCTTTAATTTCATGCTACTGTACATTTTTGTTACCTCTTTTGAACATTTTCATCATCATCATCACAATCATCCAAGCCTTATCCTAATTATTTGGGGTCGGCTACATGAATCATGTTCCTCCATTCTTCTCTATGAAAGGTCATATGCGCTGTCTACCTAATGCAACCCACCTCTTTTACCCGGGCTTGGGACAGGTTAAGGAACAATTTAAGGTTGTTACCCTTGTTAGACCACTTTTGAACATTTTCGATCAATTTGAAAAAAAGAGCAACACCAGAAATGCTTTAGGGTTTGTCTGGATATACCGTTATCATTGATAATTTTCTGTTGTCATAAAATTAATCTTGTTAATGAATTATTTATTACATGGCTGCGTCCCTCATAAAATTATGTAAGATAAACTTATTGGTTGTTTTACATATAAGTTTATCGTTTGGGAAAGTTGTTTTACTTCATTCCAAATAGTTTGCTGAAAACCACATGTTTTTAGATAGCAATAAATGAGCATAGTCGAAAAATCACCAAATAAGTTAAATAACTAAATAATATTATATTTAATATAACTTATGTACTAGAGAACTAATAAAATAATATTATGTAGAGTATATTAATTTCAGATAAGATAGTATACACCTGATAAGATTAATTGTCATCCTAACAGGCTCTTAATTTAAGAATATAAATAACAAATTTATTCAAATGTATGTTGACTTCTTCTAAATTGGTCACATGGGGATTAACCATGGGATATTGAAGCAAGTTGGGTAGATCTCTGTAAATCTAGCCTTATTTAGGTCAAACCAACAAGGCAAATTTGGAATCTAACATCATTATGTATGCTATTTCCATGAATTAGCTTGCACTGGCTAAACTTGTCATCATTAAGAAGCATGGTATGTATTTTTCCATAGTGTTGGATGCTTATGTGTTTCATTAGATATATGTGCATTTATATTTGTTATTTAGTATTAAAATTTTTTCAAGAGCATGCATGGGTTCCAACAACCACATGTAGATACTTCTAAGTTAGCTACTTGATTTTTTGTTCAAATGCTTTTTCAAAAGAGAATGTGGCATTATTGCTTAAATTTTCTTCCTCTTTAGTTGCACATAATTCTCATCTTCAGTATGTGTAATGGAATGGAAGCACTTACGTTCTTGATCATGCCAGGTAAATTTTGATACGTGTTCCACAAGAGAAACAACATACTCCTGTACTGTATTTGAAGATCGCCATCCGTCAACTGTCTCAATGACTGTTCTTGTTGTTGTTGAGATGTTTAATGCGTTAAATAACCTTAGTGAGAACCAATCTCTCATGTAAGTGATCATTTTATGGATCCGTATACGTGTTCCCTTCCATTTTGTGGTTTTGTTTGTTTTCTTCCTCAATGTTTGGATTAGATATTGAATTGACTATTTAGGAAAGGCACATCACTATATCTATAACACATTTGTAATTTCTCTTCTTTCCTCGTATCATTTGTATGTTCAAATTCCAGCAAGAAACTGTCTGCAGGTGTTAATTCTAAAAATTTCAGTTACTTGAGCTGTGTTCAAGTCAAAATAGTACATGACCTTCTTAATCATGAACAAAATATTTGTCCCTGTTCTGTTCCTTGTTGATTCTACATTCAGTATGCGCTATTACACCAATGATGCAGCAAATGTTATCTAGATTAATTTTCTACCGGTATAATATAACATGAATTATGAACATTCCACCATGGCGGTGCCATTCAATGCTTGAGCCATCCTGCGTAATGTTGTGTTGTTGTTTTCGAGGAGCAGTGACCTAGACAATGAAATAATTCTTAGATTTTCTAACCTTTCAGAAAAATAATAGCTAGTCATAATTTTGATTTGTCGAGTCTCTCTCAGTTATATTTAGTTGTTAGTCACAGTAAAACTTCTAAAGGTTCTTCATGTAACTAGGAAACTTCAAAGCAAAATGCATTTGAAGTTTTAGTGTGGAGTAGGTTTTTAAAACCAATATGACCTGAAATGTTTTCTCAATTATCTTTGCTTTCAGTGTAATTCCACCTTGGAGTAATTTATGGTTGGTTGGGTCGATTGTCCTTACCATGATTCTTCACCTATTGATATTGTATGTGGAGCCATTGTCAATACTTTTCTCTGTAAGTCCTTTTTCTCCTTCATGGCTTAATCATACTTAGTTATGGACAACTTAAAGCAGAATGTCTGATGCTATATCTTGCAGGTAACTCCACTTTCTTGGTCTGAGTGGAAAGTGGTCATTAATCTTTCTTTCCCTGTGAGTAATTCTTATTCCTTTCTCCTAAATATAAATTAGACATATTACTTGGAAGGAAAATTAGTCTATGATTGCGTTACTAAAGCTAACATGATTGATGTATTCCTTTCTCTCTAAATATAAATTAGACGTATTACTTGAAAGGAAAATTAATCTATGATTGCGTTACTAAAGCTAACATGATTGACGTGCATGAGAAATTTCTGTGTTTTTAAAAAAACCAGTGACATGGGCTTGTAGTTGCCCGTCACTTGGACCTAGGAGGTTGGTGGGTCTGATAAAAAGGCCGAACGTCAGCCAAGTCTCCCTGAGTTCTGCCCCTCTTGTATTCTATCTAGAGACTCAGCCAAGTCAGTGGATGATTCAGGACCTTTGGTGAGTCCAAGCTCGAGCCCTTGTTTGAGAACATTTGTTAAGCCTCACCTCTGAACTAGTGAATAAACAAGTAGCGCTTAGGAAGATGTTAAGGTCCCATTGCCAATGGTGCAAAGGACTCCAGGAGAACATAGCACTCGGAGTCCACAAAAAGGATGTCATACTTATGGTGCTTAATGTCGTACAGAACACAACTCTTGCCCCATTGAAATATTTGGCCCTGAAGATTTCCAATAACTGTCTATTTAACAAAAAATTCTGGAGTACTTTAAAACACCCTAAAATTTTGTGGAATAAGAAATTGTATGCATAGCAATGTTTGAGGATTTTTCTTATCAATTTCATATATTCGCAAACATATCCTGATCCTTGAATGAAATATCATGCACAATAGTCTCAGTTGGGCCCAGATTGTGCGAGTTTTATTCATTGTAAAATTTCCCCAACCACATGATTCATTGCTTTGTAATAGGGATTGCTTACTGGATGGAACATATAGCTGGTTAATAAGGTTCCAAACTGAATGAATTTCAAACAATGATACCAGTTGACTAGAGAACTTTGGTCTACGTCACACTCAAGGTTTTGCCACTGGTCATGCATCTGTTGGTAGCACATTCCTTAACTCATTATGCATACTCTCAACACTTCTACAGGCTTCCTTTTGTATCGGCTACATTCTTCTCCAAGGATGAAGCATAAACATGTATAGGTGAATAAAGGCATCCTTATTTGTGGGAGCCATCCACCTAGTTTGTTTATTATCCTCCTGATTCTTCTTCAGTGGATATGCTCCTCAGGCTTCCGTGGTGTATCCTTAAACTTCCAGTGCACCTCAACTTTTTAAGAGTGAGAATAAATAGGAGTTATGAGTTTTGAATTAACTTCATAGCTTGTTTTTTCTTTTCTTTTTTCCTGACTTTCTGAAAATCTCTTTCTCTCTCTCTCT